TTTTCGATTGGGGTGCACTGGCTGCACTCAGTGTCAAGAGCGTGTTCGATTGGCAGTGCCAATGCGCACTTGGCTAGTGTCACGTGTTCATTTGATCGCGCGACACTCGCGTAGTGCGCACTCAGTGCGCACTAAGTGGCACGAGATATTTTGACGGTGCCAGTTCAGTGCACGTTTTATCACCGTTAAGGATATACATAGGGACAAGCAAATCTGCACAGTTGAATTGAAAACGGGGTCTTGTTCCTACTCTTAATATCTTTTACTGTGGTTTTGTAACATTTTGTTGAACATTGCTTCAAAATGAACAAAATGAGTTTCAGCTTTTGCACTGAAAATCTTGGCATATTCTTTTGAACTTGCACTATTCAGTGCAACCCATGGAACTCGTCCAGTGTTGGTGTGAACTGAGTGCGCACTGGTGCGCACTAACTTTTGCCCAATCGAAAACGCTATTTGATTCGGGGCAGTGAGAGAGTCAAGTTACTAGGAGCACTGGATCTGAATCAAGGCAAGTAAAACCACACTCGGATTGCATACACCACACCGTTTCGGCACTAGTGCAAAAGTTATTAGCCACTGGCACCGAGCAACATCGAGTGAGTGCACATTAATCGAATTCGCTATTACATTGCGTGATTCCCTATCTTTTATCATGGTGCAATTGCGAACAATGGTTAGCCCGGATCCTTATACGGGCAACAGCGCTTTGACACAGCGCTAATTGGTGAAAAGCCGGTTGTGGGGGTAAAATTTACCCCCATCACCCTTTTTTCACCAATCAGCGTTCGGTGTCAAAGCGCTGTTGCCCGTATGAGGATCCGGGCTTACGTTCAGCAGACTCAACAGTTTTGCAACCGTTTTATGATTCTTCGCTCAGATTGGACTATTCCTTTAAAACTAAAAGTATAAATCAATCAGCGCAACGAATCATGAAACGGTTGCAAAACTGCTGAGTCTGCTGAACGCAGCCAATCTCACCGGAGTTCGTTCGGCAAGAAATTTCTTGTCGAATGGTGAGATCTGAGAAAGAAAGTCTGAGAAATGGAGCGAGAGAGGAACCACAGCCGACTGGACCGACTAAATTGACAGTTTTAAGATTGAATATATAATTTTGCACAGTCCAAAGACAAGAATAAAATCGAATGGCAATATATATGGTAACAATTTACTGGCTTAGAGGATGAAGAATCACATATGAGAATTACACGAAGAATGCTTAGTTCATTTTCAACAGGATTGACTTTGTAAATCTGTGGTCGCAAGGATTTGCACATTTCGGGCCGATTCCGACACGCGACCTCCACCCAGGGCCTTCCAACTCCCCTCTTGTAAACGCGGTACCACCGTTAGTGGCGCCCTTAGCTTATG